GCTGTTCCCAACTGATAGCTACAAGCACTAACTCATGTGTAGCATCTTGATCAGCCACTCTGATCAACAGTTGTATAATACCAGGGTGCCTGTAGAACCATGTCACACATAGAAGGGTGTCCCTGCATTCAACCTGAGGCCACATTATGTTGCAGGCTGCGCCCGTTTCTTTCTGCCCACATAATAGTTGATGACTGTCTGCTACTTCTACTTCAGGCCTTCTCATTTTCGCTTCCAAAATTACCCAACATGACAAATAATGATCAAAAAAGCAAACCTAAACCAGCTTTTAAAAAATCACCTAAGTCCTTTCACATTTTCTTTTCTAACGTCTGTGGCATTCAAACCAACTTCTGCAGTGTGGAATTGTTCCTCATTGAGAAGTCTCCTGATGTACTGGTTCTCTGCGAGACCAACCATGACTCATTTACCCCTCCTTTGGCCTCTCAATCGCCGGTTACCTTCCTCTCCTTAGTAAAGACTTTCAAACCCACATGCATGGCCTTAGAGTATGTCAAAGACCATCTCCCACTGACTAGAGAGCTCTCTCTTGAATCTCCAGACCACTCATACTTGTGTCTGTCTATCTCAAAGCTGTAAGCTACCTGTTCTTTCTCTATTGCTCTCCATCCTCCCAAGACTGTGGTGTACTCAAAAGCATTTTCGACAATATAGACAAGACTATCTTTCTCCATCCATTTGCTCATATATTCGTGTTTGGGGATTTTAATGCCCACCATAGCAAGTGGCTTAAAAACACTATGACTGACCTTGCTGGCATAGAGACCCTTAACTTTTCTATTTCTCAATCCCACACACAAATAGTTGACTTTCCCACACATTTCCCCAACAACCTGGGTGGTAAGGCTTCCCTTCTTGATCTGTTTCACCTCGATCCCTGAGTCCTGTTGTGCCTCACAGCTCTGCCCTCTTGGCAACACTGATCATGCTGTAATGTCTGTCAACATCTCCTTCTACTCCACCCCAGCAAAGAAGCTCCTACCAACAGAACATTTTTCTGTTATCAACGAGCAGACAGGGACTCATTCTGGGATTTCCTTCATGGGATGTAGTCTTTAAGCTCCCCATTCAAGAATGTGCTTCCGAGGTTACCTCTTGGGTAAAAGCTGGAATCAAGGCTTTCATTAGGAAATATAAGGTTAAATCACACTCATCCCCTTGTTTCTCTGCTGCTTGCTCAGTTACCATTGCCCACAAAAATCACTTCTTCCACCTATATCATAGTGATGTCAGATTGCAACAGACATCACTTTGTCTCAGCCTGTAACAAGTACAAGCATGTCCTCAATGAAGCAAAGTCACTATTTGCTGAGAGAATAAAAAACGTATTGCATCTTGCAAATTCGGCTCTTAGGATTATTGGCATCTCTACAAGAGTGTACTTAACAACAGCAAAACCACAATACCTCCTTTGTTCAACCAATTTGAGATCCTGACCTCTTCAGCTGATAAGGCTTTACTTGGAAATTCTTATCCAACTCAACACTCAACTCACCTGGTGTACGCATACCTGATTTTCCCCACTAGAACTTGCAATTATTATATGCAACTTGCTCCATAGAGCAAGTTGCATATAATCCCGTTGTTGGTATTGGGCAACATCTCTAAATTAGACTCCCATAAGGCTAGCAGTGGAGACTGGATACCAGCCATTGTCCTGAAGAAATGTGCTTCTGAACTAGCCCCTGCCCTCTCCAAATTATATAACTACTGCCTCAGTGAATCTTGTTTTCCAGCCTGTTGGAAGTCCTCATCTATTGTACCTGTCTTTAAGAACTCTGGAGACCCTTCTGATCCATCTAACTACTGTCCTATCAGTCTCCTAGCACACTTCGGCAAAGTTTTTGAAGTTTTAATCAACACCAAAGTGGTTAATCACCTTATATCTCATGATCTGCTCTCTGATAAACAATATGGTTTCCACTTTGCCCATTCTACAACTGATGTGTGCACAGCCATAACTGAAATTGTTTACCAAGTACTCCACAATAACAGAGAAGCTTGTGCTGTGGATCTAGATATCTCTAAATCGTTTGATAGGGGTCTGGCATGCTGGATACCTTTGTAAGCTTAAGGGATACAGAATTTCAGGTTGATTATTTGACCTAATGCAATCATTCCTGTCAAACTGTGTAATGAAGGTCATCCTTAATGGATTTTTTTCCAGTTCCTTTCACAGGAATGCAGGTGTTCCCCAAGACTCTATCCTGGGCTCTACTCTTTTCTTTATCTTCATTAACAATCTCCCCAATGTCATCAGTTCTCAAGTAGGCATCTAAGCAGATGACACTACTATTTACTTCTGCCTCAATAGCAAGTCTGGTATCACTGACAAAACTAACCTGACTGTTAGTCTCAAAAAGGACCTCCAATTGGTTATAGACTAGGGCAGGAATTGGCTGGTTAACTTTAATGCCTCTAAAACAAAACTGCTCTCTATTACTCAAGCAGAGAACCACCCCTGCCACCCATTAGAATGTCAGATGCTCAACTCCACAAGAGCACCTCTTTGCGACTGCTTGGTCTCACACTGTCTGCTGACCTGAGCTGGAACAATTACATTAAATCAATTGCTTCATCCACTGCAAAGAAAGTTGGTTCCCTGTGTCGTGCCAGAAAGTTTTTCTTGCCTGAGTCCATCCTTCAAATCTATAAATCAACCATTCACCCTTGCATGGAATACTGCTGCCATATATGGTCTGGTGCCCCTGCTGTTCACCTTAAGGTCCTTGAAAAAATCCAGAGACAGATATGCAATGTGATTGGTCCTGATCTGATATCTCATCGATAGTTGCCCTCTCACAGATGCACTGTCGCTTCCCTCTGTTTTTTATACAAATACTTTCAAGGTAACTGCTCCGATGAGCTACTTTTGCTAGTTCCCAGACTGCATGAATTTAAGCATCACAGTCCCACCCTTTCACTGTCGAAATGATTAAATGTGGCCGTCTCTTCTACTCCAATAGCTTCACGTCTCGCATCTCCCATCTGTGGAATTCCCTTCCTATTACTTGTTTCCCTGATAGCTATAATCTCCAACTATTCAAATGTAATGTCAATCAACATCTCCAGATGCACTGATCTATTCCCTGTCCTTCTCTTCATCCTTTCCTTCATCATGCCTCTTTACTCTCGCTCCTACTCTGTAATCCCTTGTGTACCAGTGGCATCCGGCCTTGCTTGGGGTGAAATGGTTAAAAAAAAAACCTCCACAAATTATCTCTTTTGGGCTTCATTCAAATTTTGAGTTGTCAATACAACTTTTACTATATTAAAATGTCTTACATTTTTTCTTTGTTTTGATTTGCAATGTCTTTATCTATGACCCAGTTTTATTTTTGAATGAGAAATCCTCCTTAAAATGAACTCCTCTGCAACTGTAACATGGCTTTAGTGCAATCATCATAGTTGCACATTTTGCACTGTACACTATCCTTTTCTTCAATGTTTGCAGTATCAGGTTTAGAATACTTTGGTATTTTTTTGCCACTGTTTGTAAGGTTAATATTGGATCCTACACAATTTTTTATAATTAAAGAATAAATTACTGCATCTTTACTCAAAATTAACCATTGCACAAAAATCAAACATTTAAACATATCTGGAGATAGTTTTGCAGTTAAAATTTTTCACATTTGTGATTGACAATACCAGCATAAGTAACAAAATTTTTGTCATCTTTCTCATGAGATTTAAGCATTACCAATGTGTATGAAAAGCAAAGCTTCTTTCACTGAAAACAATGGAAACAAAGGTTGAGTGAAGAAAGGTTTAATCACATGTGAACATAGATTGAGAATAGAGTAATTCAGTGCAACAAGTATACGAGTGAAAATTGCTATGCCTTTGTGGTACTTTTTTGCCCCTGTTCCATGAGCAAATGGATGAGTCTATGTTCCAATAATAAGTGTAATGAAGGTTAGTCAGTCTTTCTACACAACAAATTGCATAAAATATATTAAAATGTAACTCATTCTTTCATAGAGATTTGATAACATTTCATGTTTAATCCAAAATTGCTTACTGCAAAATTGAGAACATTGGATTTTAAATCAATGTAGATTATAATGAAATCTCAGTGGAAGATCAAAACAAAATCAAGATAAATTTCAAAATAAAATAAAATTATTGCATAATGGTGGGTTGATCATTTATATATTTCCCATCTTGAAAACTTGAACAGAAATATACTTCCATCAGAAATTCTTCCAGCAAGTATTGTAATTTGATTGGTAGTGGTGCCTAAAATCTTTTGCATAGAAAAATACAAATGTTATTATAACAAGAAGTTCTAAAATGCTCAACTATATCTGACTGCAAACTCCAATCGTTACTACTTCTATAAAGACTTAAAGTATACAAAACTCTTCTTTCTTTTACAAAGGTATTAAACACTATTTATTTATTAGATTGCTTATTTACAAGATTAATTTTATACTTATAAAATTATAAAAATATGTAAACCATTTACAATTAAATATTTATTATTTACCATTTGTAAAGAAATAAATTAAAAATAATTTTTTATTCATAAATTTATAAAAATGTTTGTGAACAAGAAAATTTAAATAAATACATAATGACAAGTAACTAATCATAAATTTTGAAAAAATGCATTTTCCAGACATTTCTTTAATTTGCCACATAAATTCACTAAAATTGGTTAAAGTGTATGCAGTAATAGTAGTGTCAAGGGAATAATCATCCTTTTGACACACCATTTTTTTGTGGGTATAAAGGTTAAACATTGCCAAAATATATTTCCCAGTATTATAAGTTATCCTGATATCCCAGAGAATGTAGTCATTAGACCATTACTACATGAGATAACTGAAGAAGTGTACTTTGAAAGTCTTCTTTCTCAATGTACAGCTTTCTCAAGAATAAGAACAAAAAACAATGACGAACTAATAAATAAGTAGTTTCATTAAAGGTTTGTTAAGATTTATGGTAAGGAAAAAAAAATGCAAAACACTCACCTATGACTGCGAAAGTAATGTACTCAGACAAACTTACTTGAAGGTCTGAACATCGCCAGCTATTCATATGAGAAACAACCTTTTTAATAATGAGAGTAATATTCTGATCATGTCTTGAAAGAATGTATCCAGGTGCCGAATCACAACTTGTTTTATTTTTACACATCAGGTTATAAGGAAGGTTTTGATTATGCCACATTAAAATACTTTGAGAACTTGGAAATGCACAGGTCAATTCTGCTGATGAATTTGCCATGAATTTAGTTGCATTAGCAGAAATAATGATTTCTGAAAGAAAGAAAGAAAGAAAGAAAGAATTCAGTGCAGTAAATATAAGGTTATATAATATCAAAACATTATACAAGGTAGGATTAGAAAGTTCTAGAAATAGGATCTTATGACAGACTCTTGAACTGATTCCATTCACATGGGAAAGCTGAGAGACTGTCCTGTGATGATCCTCATGGATGAGTTCATTATTTTTTTTCCATATTTTCCTTCATTTTGATGGATATTGTCACACTGAAAGTTCATCCTTTTGAACTGACATTTGACTGGCATTGAAAATATATGTGTCCCTGAAAACCCGTGTTTAACCAAAAGAAGTTTCATCAAAAGCTTAACTGGCAGATTTATTATAGTTTGTAGGGTCATTATTATTATTAATAAATGAAAATAAAAATATAATAATAATAATAATAATAATAATAATGAATGTCATAAATAAAATAAAACAAATAACATTAAAATTTTGTTTAAAATAAATAAAAGCAAAATAAGAAAAGTTCTCCTAGAATGCAGCAGAAACTCTCCCTGCTTGAAAATGGACTTTGTGCCAAAAATGCTGAACACAGCCTCTTTCGCTACTGACTGTTGGAGGGTCAAGATGTCAATCTCCTTTCCTGAGCACATTGCTTGTTATAATATGAAGTGACTTCTTTTTTCACATGCAACCTTAAAATGCACACACACTATTACACAAAATAAATAAAATTGTATGATTTTAATTTCCAATTTAACATGCTTCTAGTGTTGTTTCTGCGGATGTTTTTATTCCTTTGAACACAAAGCTGGTATCCCTGCTGGTATGATATGAGTGACCCCACAAATTCAAACAAAATTTGATGCACATTCTTTGCTTGAATATTTCAGCCAGAGTCATCGTTAAAACAAGACAACGTTAAAAAATCTTGTGTAATAATTGAACACATGTAGAGAGGATGAAACCTATTTCTATACTGATTCCGTGGACTGGGTGCCAATTAATATTAGCTGCACATCCCATTTTATTTAAACCAGATACATACATTTTTTAAGTCACTGACTTTTCCTTTTACACATACTGCTTAGTGATACAAACTCATTGCTTAGCTTCTGAATAATGGACATAGACATCATTCCTCACTTTCCATTCTTTGTCCAAACCTAGCTTTTCTTTTAGTAAGTTTCATGACTGTTATGAAGTTGAAGTTTAGCCCTAGTCAGTCGCTAAGCTTGTCTTCTCTTCCCACGTTATTCTCAGTGACCAGTTATATAGTCTTTCTCTTGCACTTATGCAAATTAGGCATATTAATTTGCCAGTGTCACTACATCTCCCTGAAATGTATAGGTTTTATACCTCTAGTAGTTCTTGTACTTCTCGTGGTAGTTTCATTACTTTGCTCTACTTCTCTCTCTCCCAAATTTCTTTCTCTGGGAGACCTAGATCTGTCACGTGCTACGCTGTAATCATAGACATCTTCTTGCATTATTTGATCTTTGTCTGAACTTTCAAACTCATTCTGTCCCACTTGATCCTGCATTAATTTCGTCTTCTGATGTTTCATTCTGTAACGGTTGTTCTAATAAATCATTAATGGACAGAATTATAGACATTTCCTCATCATTTTGCTCTTCATATTCACCCTGGGTTCTTATTTGATCAGCATGGGCTAATACACTGTTGCCATTTTCTCTATTTATTATAGCTGTATTGTGGCCTTTTTGCATGATAAATTCTGCCCTTTCCAGATTTGCTTCTTTGTTCTTTTTGTACCACATTTTTTCATTTGTGGAATACAACATCATTAGCAGAGCTTTAATTAGCCTGCACATTAAAGCTGATGGGCTTTCAAGTCTTCCAGAGTGTGGTATTGTGCGATAGCTTAAAAGCAGCCTCAGTAGAATAACTTCTACTTTTGCTTTTTGCTGAGAGCATGATTTTAGTCCTGTCTTTACGGTCTGCACCATTCTTTCCGCTAATCTGTTCAACTGAGGGTGATATGGGGGTGTCTTATACAGTTTACATCCTATTTTTTCTAACCATAAATTAAGATCTTCATCACAAAATTCTGGTGTGTTGTCAGATACCAGGGTTTTTGGTATGCCGTTTCTGGAAAATATGACTCTTAGAATCTGTTTTATCATAGGACTTTTCTTGTCTGGCAAACGGATTATTTCAGGCCAGCCTGAAAAAGAGTCTACTAGAATTAATAAAAGTCCCACTCCAGTTATATACGCATGATCCATATGCACCCGACTTCATGGCTCCACTTCTCTGGACCACGAATATAAAGTAGTCTGAGTAAAGTTTCTTAATTCTTTACATTTTTTTCAGCTTTTTATATATTCTTCGACATCTCTTGAATATCCCTGCCACCATGCTTCTAATTTTAACCTTTTTTGTGTAGCCACTACTCCACAGTGTATATCATCATGTACACTTTTATTACCAATTTTCTTTGTGTTTCTGAGGGAACTACCAGATCCCTATTACAAATCACTCCATGTTCTATCATTAATTTCTGTCTTATTTCTTTGTAGGGTCTTTCTGCCCTAGAACAATTTCCCCATGAGTTTTTTCTTATTCTTGATATTATCCTACTTAGTACTGAATCATGTCTAGTTTCTGCAGCCATTCTATCTAAAGACAAAACATCAGTCTCTACCCAATGTAAGAATGCATCTTCAAATTCTTCTGTTTTGTCTTTTGACTACTTGTAAAGTCGCAATCTTGATAGTGCATAGACATGTGGAATTGAATTTTCTTTGACATATTCTATATCAAAGTCAAATGCCATTAATCTTATTGCCCATCTTAGTATCCTCGATGTCGGGACTTTGGGTAATTCTTTCCTTGGGTTAAATATAAACTCTAATCGTCTATGATCACTTGTTAACAGAAATTTTTTCTCAATTAAAAATTGTCGGGCTCTGGTAGTTGTCCACACAATAGCCAAAGCTTCTTTCTCGATATTTGAATAATTAAATTCAGTGTTCATTAGTCTTCTTGATAAATACATGTCCTTCTTGTGATAATATTCTTGATATCGAATGTTCACTTGTATCTGTGGTTAACGTAATGTCCTTTTTTTGATCAAACATTTTCACTACTGGTTTCTTTGCCATAATTACTTTTAATCTATCAAAAGCTTTTTGTTGTTCCTCTGACCACATAAATTCAACATTCTTCTTTCTTAAATTTTCAAACGGTTCAGTCAAGTCCGTGTATTTTGGTAAGTATCGCCTGTAAAAATTCACCAATCCCAAAAAAAGACTCCAGTTTTTTTTATTTGTAGGTGTAGCTACTTTTAGTATTTTTTCTATCAAGGCCTGGTCTGGTGATATACTTACTTTTGAAATGGAATAACCTAAAAAAGATATTTTACTACAATTGCTAATGCATTTTTTCTCGTTTATTGTCATTCCAGCATTTCTTAATCTATTCAAGATTATGTCAGTTTTCGTTTTTAACTCATTTTCATTAGTAGCTCCTATGCATATATCGTCTTGGTTACAAATCATATTTTCCATATTTTCTAAAACCTGTTTGATGGCGCTTTGAAATATGGTGCTTGCAGTTTTTATTCTGTATGGCATTCTTTTCCATCTTAGTAACCCTATTGGCGTATTTATCATGGTTACTTCTTTGAAGTTATTGTCTGTTGGTATTTGGTGGTATGCCGTTTTTAAATCTATTTTTGTAAAAACGCTCATTCCTGCCAATGCGTGTAATGCAACTTCAACATTCAGTATTAGATATGAATCTGAACAAACTTTGTGATTTACGCCTATTTTGTAATCTCCAGAAATACGTAAATCACCATCTGTCTTACTCAAAACTACAATGGGTGATGCCCACTTGCTACCCCCAGGGGGAACATGTTCAAGAAGGTCTTGTTTTGTTAACTTTCGTAGTTTTGTTACTACTAATGGCAACAAATGTACTGGTAATTTTTGTGCCTCATAATAAGAGGGGGAGACATTTTCTTTTAATTTTAAACTCGCTTTATAGTTTTTTAACTTTCCGTTTTTTTCCATTTTTATCTCATTAATTAATTTGGTAGAATTTATGTTAAGCACGTCGTTTCCAAGAAGTCCATGGTTCTTTTTACAACTTGTGACAATTATAGGTATTACTTCAAATTTATCTTTTAACATGAAGGACTCTTCAAAGTATCCTAAGGTTTTTATGACCAACCCATGAAACTGGCAGAGTTGTAAACTGCTCTTTTGTAAATGTGGCTTTCCAATGCGTTCCCAAAAATCTTTTGGTATCAGCGTTACTTCACTCCCAGTATCCATTTGCATATCTAAATTGCAGTTGTTGATTTTAACTTTTAGTATAATGTCTTTTTTCTTTTGTTCAATTTTTTCTATATTCTTATTTTTTAATGTGAAGACTTCCATATTGGTTTCATTTTCTTCAACTCTTTCAACGTTTTTTTTTTTTTGAATTTGCATACTGCTTGAAAGTGTTTTTTTAAGCAATTTGTACAGGTTTTTCCAAATGCTGAGCATTTTTCCCTTTTTATTTTGTGTTCACATCCACAATATGAACATTTTCTTATCTTTTTTAACATGTACATAACAGCGAATATTTGTTCACTGAGTTGACTTTTTTGATGGTTGTATTTCTGTATTAATTCTTGTTGCTGCATAAAGTCAATGCATGTATTTAAAGACATATTTCCTATTTTTAGTTGTTCCATTATTTTATATCAGTGTGATACATTGCACATACCTTCAATTAACCTTAATTGAATCAAGTCCTTTTCAATAGTCTGTTCGTCTTGTCCAAATTTTTCAAATTCAAAATATCTACTTGCATTTCATAGACAGTGTAGATATTTTATAATTGGTTTGTCAATTTCTTGTTTCATCGACATGAATTTTGTTCTTTCTGCTACTACCAGCCTTTTCTTGGGTCTCATATTTCTTCTTATAATCTGACTTATTTTTTTCGAAAGTCAGGTCTTCCAAGTTTGTGGGATATGCCATGGTGGAGACTTTCATTATCGCCTCGCATC